GAATAAAATGTAAATGTAAATATGTTATAAGACAAAGAAATGAAAACTGCAATAAGAATAAGTAACTCATGTAACTAGAATAAGAAAAAGAAGTAGAGATTAAGCATAGACGATGTAAATAGAATAAGAAAATTAGAAAATAAGACAAAAGACCAGATATTAATCTGAGCATAGCAAAATAGTATAGATAAGAATAGATATAGGAATGTATAAAGCAAAAACATAAAGTATAAGGAACCAATAAATGTAAAAAATAGTCAATAGAAGTAAGAAATGTATTAGAATAAGAAAATTTGAAAAGATAAAAGGAAAAGAGACACAAAAAGAAAAATGTGTTCAAAATATATACAAGCGCGAAAAAAAATAACGTGCTTTTAAAGCAAAAAATAAAAAACAATAATAAGACACACCAAATATGAATAGTAAACAAAGACCTGCAACAAAGCGGGGAGCAGCTGAAAAAAAAAAAAAAAAAAAAATAAAAAAAAAAAAAAAAAAACCTAACCTAACCTAACGTAACCTAACGTAACCTGACCTATACGAACAATTTATATAGCGGTCATAGAACCAATCATCCTCTACGCAGCGAGTGTTTGGCAGGGAGAAGCTAAGAAAATAATGACCAAAAAGAAATTCTCGGTGGTGCAGAGGGGGTTCGCCCAAAAAATTACCAAATGTTATAGGACGGTGTCGCTCAACTCCGCCTTAATATTGTCGGGGCTGCTTCCGCTGGACCTAAGGGTCCATGAAGCATCCCAGCTTTATGAGGCGAAGCGAGGGAAACCCCAGGCAATATTAAGGGGGAGAAAGGTGGAGAAAAGGGTATCCTTCATGAATTCGGACCACCCCGGTAGCAGCAGAATGATAGGTTTCGAATGTCTGGAAAACGAGGAGGAGGATAGCAAACTGGCAGAAGGTCTTGTGAAGATCTATACAGATGGCAGCAAACTGAAGGGAAAGGTAGGAGCCGCCCTGACCTGTTGGAAAGGGCAGGCAGAAGTCCTTTCCCGAAAGTTTAAGCTGGAGCCATACTGTACAGTCTTCCAAGCCGAGCTGTATGCTATCCTCCAAGCCACGGAGTGTGTATTAGGGAAAGGATGGAAGGAGGCGGCCGTGCTCAGCGATTCGAGGTCCTCCCTCCAATCGCTAGCTGATCCAGACTCCTCGCATCCGATCACCAAGGCGATTCAGGGCAACCTGGCCCAACTCAGGGACAACGGACAAACCGTGTCCCTGTTTTGGATCAGGGCCCACGTCGGGGTGATCGGAAACGAGAGAGCGGATCAGCTGGCGAAGGGGGCGGCCCTCGGGTTGAAATGCAAATCGCACTATGACTGCTGTCCCATCTCTTTCGTCAAGCGCCATGTACGCGCGATGACGAAAGTAGAATGGGACAGCAGGTATAGGAGCGAGGACACGGCTGCCACAACGAAGGCGTTCTTCCCTAGCGGGGAGAGCGCCTTCGGTGTCGTAAGAAAGATGAAGATTGATAGAATAGCTGCACAGATCCTTACCGGGCATGGAGGTTTCTCCGCCTACCTCCATAGGTTTAAAAAGAAGGATACCCCAAGTTGCGTTTGTGATCCCGACACTGAAGAGGACATTTTCCATGTCCTCCTGGAATGCCCCCTCTATGCCAAAGACAGACACGACGCACAAGTAGCATTGAACACACCCCTTAGAAAGGAAAACCTATGGGAAATTATGGCAGAAAGTAAAGATAGGGAAGCGTTTATTAAGTTTGGTAAGAAAATAGTGGAAAAGGTCATAGAACGAAATAGAGATGATTAGTGTAAAATGTATTAATTTATGTAGAGTAATATGTAAAAGTAAATGTAGAGTATAAGAAATTGTGATATTAGTTTTAAGTAAAGAAATGTAAAAGGCAAGAAAGTAATGAAATAGATAATAAGGAATGTAAAAAGTAATAGACCAGTGTGTGTAATTAAGTGAATAAGTAAAATGTAACAATAAAACAAGAAGAAAATATGTAATAGCAAATAAGATAAGTGTAAAGAATAAAAAGAAAAAAGTAATAAAGTGCAAAAGAAAGAGCAAGTCTAACAAACCTAAAATAGTACCAAACAAAACAAAAAAGAAAACAAAGTCCTGAAACAAATCAGGGATACCGCTAAAAAAAAAAAAAAAAAAAAAAAAAAAACGTAACCTGACCATTTCTTCACCACGACAACACGCCCGCGCACTCTGCGATCAAAACTAAGGACTTCTTGGACTCCACACCAGTCAGAGCCTTAGGACCCTTACGTCTAGCCTTACGTATGTACATTTACGTTAGGCAGACGTACATTTTTGTGAGAAAGGTGTAAAAACGAATGCAGTTGTGTATCAAAATACAGTCCTGACGAACCTTGTGGAATCTGTTTCTCATACCATGTTCAATAACAGGCACTGGGTATTCCAACAAGATTCGGCGCCAGCTCATAGAGCGAAGAGCACACAAGACTGGCTGGCGGCGCGTGAAATCGACTTCATCCGGCACGAAGACTGGCCCTCCTCCAGTCCAGATTTGAGTCCGTTAGATTACAAGATATGGCAACACTTCAGGAAAAGGCGTGCTCAAAGCCTCATTCCAATTTGGAGTCACTCAAGACATCATTGATTAAGGCAGCCGCCGATATTGACATGGACCTCGTTTGTGCTGCGATAGACGACTGACCTCGCAGATTGCAGGCCTGTATTCAAAATCACATAAAAATGGCCTCCCATTTTGAATAAACTTTATTGTCATAAGAATCTATGTTTTATTAAGTTCATTTTGGTATATAAATGGTTACATAATGAATAAACTTATTTCAATTATTTTATATTAAACATGTGACAGAATTTATGACATGACTAGGTATAACATAGATTCAATGTGTTTTATGTACTAACAGCTGGGAAACAGGCCTTCCTTGTGGATGGAGTTGAGAGATTGGGCCACGACCCACCGGCACCACGCGGGTCCAGTGCCGACTAGCGGGCGCTACCAACTGCATATACAGCCGGGATCAACGGCTTCCGAAGCTGGAAGGACGACCTCGAGATAATAAAATTCACCCATCCAATCACCGGTCATTGCGAAAGTTGCTTATCTGCCATGATAGTAGATTGAATGCGCACACCACTTGCGCCATAGAGCTCCTCATTTTTCCCATATAGCGCACTTGTGCACCTCATAATTTGAGGCTTGTGCTATCATTTGTGTTGTTTCAATAGGTAATGTTGGGTAAAATAGGAAGAAGTGTGAATAAAGTAATTGAAGCTGAAGCTGACTATGGACTAAAGGAGAATCTTATCATCGATGTAAAATATCTTTATTCAAGTTACATACAATCCGCGCTATAAGGTTTAGCTTTCTAAAAAATAAACACTTTATTATATTTTGTATTAATTTAATTATTGACATTAAAAACAGACGATAAAGTAAAACTCTTATAATACACACATCAAAAGTGTCTAGGGATCAAGCATTTTTATGCGGATTTCTTGAGATTGAGATGTGACTTTGTAATAAATTTATGATTTTATAAATTTATATGGATCCTTTTTGGTGCATTTCATAATTTGAATCAGGAACTGTGAATCAAATTCGAGTAAAAGATGAAAATCAGCTGTCAATATTTTCCCTATAAAAACATACAACGCATTGAAGACATTATTAGTGCTACTGTTTCCCTACTACTGATTAAAACCAACGTTATTATGGAGCGGCGACGTCATTTAAGCAGGGAAGAAATGCTCAGAGCCGTGGGAATGATAGAAGCTGGTTCCCGGCAACGTACTGTGGCTTTAGCTCTGAATACAAGTCAGAGTGTTATCAGTCGACTTTGGACACGATACCGAAGCACTGGTACCGTGGCTGAGCGCCATGGAGGACGGTATCGCTGCACCACACGGAGACAAGACCGATACATTCAAATCTTAACTCGAAGAGCTCCAACAATAACCGCCATGATGTTAGCCGTGAGGCTTCATCACTCTTCAGGGAACTTAATTAGCGACCAAACAGTCAGAAACCGCTTGCATGAAGTGAACCTTCATTCCCGAAGACCGCTACGGGTACCACCTATAGCAATGCACAATCGTAGGATTCGATATCAATGGGCTCTTGAACACAGAAATTGGGCAGAAGAACAATGGCGTTTCGTGTGCTTTTCTGATGAGTCTCGTTTTGGTATGAGACCGGATACAAGACGTATACGACACTGGGGAACCCCTGGACGCCAACAGCGATTAAAATCCTGCCAGGAAGTCCATCCTTATAGTGGTGGAACCATCATGGTATGGGCGGGTATTTGGATCGGCGGAAGAACTGAGTTGATTTGGATCAGAGGCAACCTCAACGCTCAAATTTATGCTGAGACGATTGTATCAGACGTCATCGTTCCTCTACAAGTGCAAATCGGTCCCTTATTTCAGTTAATGCATGATAATGCACGACCGCACACCGCAAGAGTTGTAAGACAGACTCTCGCCGCAGCTAACATCAATGTCCTGCCCTGGCCTGCTCAGTCGCCAGACTTGAACCCGATTGAGCATGCATGGGATATGCTACTGAGAAGAGCTCTGCCGAATATGGAGGGTATCCAGTCGCAAGAAGACCTTTTTTTGTTGTTGCAACGAACATGGGCGGCCATTCCACAGCGTGATTTGGATGAACTCATTTTGAGTATGCCAAACCGATGTTCTTGTGTTGTTAGTGTTCGCGGTAGAAATACGGATTATTAATTGTTTAAGTTACCCAATAAAATTTTAGAGAAAACTGTTATTTCAGTCTTTTTTTCGAACTTTTGTGTTAGTGATTCAAATGTCAAAAATCCCTTTATTAGGAAAATGGCAAATTTCTTTATTAATGCAAAGGTGACTTGGTTTATCGTTACTGTGACAAATGAAAACACTTTATTTGATGAATCCTTAAAGAAAATTTTAATTAATATCAATCAGGAGAAAAGTTATTGCAAAAATATATGTTGATCCCTAGACACTTTTGATGTGTGTATTTTAAACTTTCATTCAAGATTCACCTAAATTTATGTTTCAATTAACATAATACAAACATTGGTATATTCAACCCTCACGTGGGAAAGATTCGCAAACGCTCTTAATAATACGGCAACTAAACACGATACAACATCAACGCTATATACAAAAATAACTCTGATCTATACTAATACATATATACATTTGACGAAATCACAGCCCACCGATCGATCAACACTATAAACAAAAAATTGTCGGAGTTAGGAAATTCACAACCGCAACAATCCGAAGGCACGCGCAAGAGTCGCTACGGCGAGTAGCAGCGCAGTCAGCGGCGGGGAGGTGAGGGCGTGCGCCGCGCTGCAGTGCGGGTGGTCCCGGGAGCGGGCGCCGATGCAGCCGGCGTAGGCCATGAGGTGCGGCACCTGACTCTGCTCGTACAGGCCGGTGAACATGTGGTGGTGCGGCCCGCGCGCGAACACCGCCACGTCGTCGCCGCCGTGCGTCTCCGAGTCGAGCGGCACGTCGGCGTGTGATCGCCAGCGCGTGGCACCTGTGTCAGACGTAAAACTTGTTACGTGTCGCTTCTTTAACCTTACTTTCTTGGAGTTCAAGTGACATCATTTGCGGGAACATAATACTAGGATTAAATATTGTTTTGTTGGTGGCACGGTTTCGCGAGCTAAAACCTTTTCAATTATTGGAGGTTACTCCTTAAGAATCGATTTGCATATATAAGGGGCCCGGTATGAGAAAAATGTGAGGAGTGAAATCTATCGATGAATGACCTCGTTACGTTTTTGGTGCGCATCCTATGTCGCGCAACTTTAACAAACAAAGATGACGGATTGACATTAATAAAATTATTAAAATCTGAACTGAATTTAGATATTTTTTCTGATAGAGCAATGGGGACAACGAGGTATAGTACAACCATTGATGCGGTATTTTCAAGATTCGTGAACCACGTATCTACGAACGTCCATGTGTCTTATTTTAGTTACCATAAACCACTTGTCACTGTAATTAACAATGCAGACAATGTTGATTTAATTAATATTTAAAAAAATGATAATAGTCTGATAATAATAATTACATAATTTATCAACATTCCTAATGATATATTTATGCACATCTGAAATTGACTATTGTAAAAAGTTTTATGTAAAATATTTCGTCGATTAGTTATAAAAAAAATGGGTGCGTGTACTTATGTAGGCGCGTGAGAAGTTATCCTTCTTTGGCATCGTTTAAAATTAGTTTTTAATTGCATGCAAATAATTAATTACAATAAATTAATAAAAAGTCTGGAAAAGGACACAGTCAATAAAATTCAGTTTTAATTTGAAAAAATAAATAAATAATCAAAATATTCAATTAAAATCGCTACTGAATATAATTTATTAGAACATATGTGATTTGCACTTGTATGAAACACAAACACGTATTCCGAATATACAAACTAGAAACATGTGGATAAATATTATAAATATGAATACCTATAACTGTTACTTTATTACAAAAAATAAAGATGTGGTTTTTGGTTCTACTACACCAATGGTCAAGAGATGGCGCTGTAGTCTCCTGAATCGCGCTTTGGTTCCGTTGTTCCAGATTAATAAATACTTTTGATATTATAAATATGAATATCTATAACTGTTACTTTATTACAAGAAATAAAGATGTGGTTTTTGGTTCTACTACACCAATGGTCAAGAGATGGCGCTGTAGCCTCCTGAATCGCGCTTTGGTTCCGTTGTTCCAGATTAATAAATACTTTTGATAGGCCTTCACAATGCAGTCCTTAGCACCCACTAAATAGAGATTCTATTTCTATTTTGTTGGTAGATTTTCTTAATGTGCGGTAAACACAAAAGTAACAGCATGAAGTTGGTCGCTAAAGCGACCAACTTCATGCTGTTAAAATTTTGTGTTACAGTGATGCGCGCGCATCTTAAAATTTCACTCTCATCATTTTTTCATAACGCGCCTAAAGAAGTATAACTTCAATAAATGTAAATGAAATGAATAAATATATATTTATATATGTATATTATTTTCATTAATTTGTTAATTTTTTTTTTTTTTTTTTTTATAGATAGGTCCGACAAATGACTCCACCCCACCTGATGTTAAGTGGAGGTAAAGTCCAGACGCGAAGATAGCTGATACAGCAGTTCTACCTGCCACACCAGCCATCCTCACCCTGCCGGCCTGCATGTTGCTTCTTCACGCCTCTTTTAAAGGATCCCAGGTTGTAAGAGGGAGGGAACACGTGAGCGGGCAGAGCATTCCATTTACGGATAGTACGACAAAGAAATGAGTCACCAAATTTCTTTGTACGCGTTGGAATTGTAGCCACAGTTAGACGGTGACAACGTAAGCCAGCGCGCGTGGTCCTCTGAAGGAAAGGGGAAGGTGGAATAAGAGAGAATAACTCCTCAGAACACTCGCCGTGGTACAGACGATAGAATGCGCTTAGTGACGCCACGTCACGGCGTAATTGAAGAGGCTCGAGGTGTTTAGACACCTCCTCATCACCTATGATGCGTATTGCGCGCCGCTGTAACCTATCCAAAGCATCGAGCAAGTACTTGGCGGAGCCATCCCAGAGGTGCGAGCAATATTCCACGCAAGACCGAACCTGCGTCTTATATAACAAGCATAGTTGCTCGGGCGTGAAAAAACGCCGCACCTTGTTCAGGACTCCGAGTTTGCGTGAGGCTGTTTTTATCACACTTTCGATGTAATTTTTTGGATTTAAGTCACAGCGAATCTCCATACCGAGCATGGTGATACTGCTCTCTAGCTCCAGTGTTGTGCCCTGAAGAGAAGGACATAAAAGGAATGGCGACGTTTTTGCCGTGAAAGCGCAGACCTGGGTTTTCTTAGCATTGAACTCAACCAAGTTCTTGGTACCCCATTCAGAAATGTGGTCCAAAGCCTGATCGAGTTCAATGACAAGATTCTCCCGTTTCTCCTTGGTTACCGCCTGCCCAGCCGCTGCTTGTCCGAGATACCCCGCATGCACTGTACTGTCGTCTGCATAGCAATGAATATTCCCAAGAGGAATTAGGTCATTGATATGCAGCAGAAAGAGAGTGGGGGATAGGACGGAGCCCTGGGGAACGCCGGCATTCACTGACATGAACCGCGAACTGCTACCATCCGTAAGGACACGAATTCTACGCTCATGCAGGAAGTCAGCTACCCAAGAACAGAACTGGGCCGGCAGACCGTATGCCGGAAGCTTGGAGAGAAGGCTTTTGTGCCAGACCCTGTCGAATGCCTTGGCAATGTCTAGGCTGATAGCCAACGACTCGCCCCGCTTGTCGATAGCCTCACCCCAGATATGAGTCAAGTACGCTAGAAGATCACCCGTCGATCGTTTCGGTCTAAAACCATATTGACGATCATTAATCAGGGAGTGATCCTCTAGGTAGCGGGTCAGATGGTTGTTAAGGACCTTTTCTAGGACTTTACATAATACTGAGGTGACTGCTATTGGCCGGTAGTTTGCCGGGTCTGAGCGATCCCCTTTTTTGGGTACCGGTTGCACGTTAGCATCTCTCCAAGTCTCTGGCACACGCCCCAAAGAATACGAGCACTGGTACAAACGCGTGAGCACGGGAGACAACTCCGCTGCACATTTTTTCAATACTACTGCTGGGATGCCATCAGGTCCACTAGCTTTCCGGACGTCGAGTGATTGCAATTCGGCACGAACCTCACGCTGCCTGATTTTGATATCAGGCATCGTTGTGCCACAATGAGGTAATAATGGTGGCAGTGCATTGCAATCATCGATTCGGGAGTTAGCCGCAAAGAGTTTTGCCAGTAAATCGGCTTTCTCCTGCGGCTTATGAGCTAGTGTTCCGTCTGGACATCTCAGAGGTGGCAGCGAGGACTGGCAGAAGTTCTTTTGCACGGCCTTGGCCAAACGCCAATAGCTACGGGAGCCCGTAGGATGCGTTATAAGTTCGGGACCAACACGTGCAACGCGCTGGGCATCCGCTCTGATGTATGCCTTCTTACAGGCCTTGGAAGCAATATTGTAGGCTGCTTTTAGTGAATCGACCCCGGGATCCTTAAGAGCGCGGCCTCTGATCCAAGCACGATATGCCGCTTGCTTACGCGAAGCAGCTTCAGCACAGTCGTGATTGAACCAGAGGTTACGTGTGCCCTTACTGATGAGATTGGAATGAGGAATATAGTATTCCATACCCATTACAATCTCCTCAGTAATAGCAACGGCGCTGGCCGATAGGTCCTTGTCATTGAAGCAGCGCTGCTTCCAAGGGACGGACGCAAAGTAGTCACGCATACCGTCCCAATCTGCTGACCCATAGTGCCAGATCCGGCGTTTTACCACCGTTGGACGCGGAGGTTTAGCCTGTGGCGCTTTGGCAGATATCAGACAGTGATCTGAAGAGCCCAGGGGGGCTCCTACCACAACCTGATAGCCCTGTGGATGGGTCGTGAGAAGAAGGTCCAGCAATGAAGGCGCTTGACTTGAAATATCTGGAATCCTGGTGGGCTGATCAACCAGTTGCTCCAAGTCATGCGTGAGAGCGAATGCGTGAGCAGAGATCCCTGCATGGTCAGTTTTCGAGGAACTTAACCACAAATTGTGGTGAGCATTAAAGTCCCCCAAAAACACCAATTCTGCATTGGGAAATTGCTCCTGCGCGTCATCTGCTGCCCGACTAAGATGTTCGAAAAGTCGAGTTGTCTCAACATCACCAGTATGGGATCTGTAGAGGCACACGTAGACTCTGGCCTGGGGACCTGAGTCGACGTGTACCCCCAATATGGAGAAGGTGGGATCTTCCAAGCAGCGGAGACGGCGACAACAAACATCCGCCCGAACATACAGGCATACACCGGCTTTCGCTTTGAAGGACTCTTCAAGCACGTAGCCGGGATAGTTAAGGTAGTCTGTGTCAGCAGGCGGAAGTATTTGTGTCTCCGTCAGGAACAACAATGCTGGCCGTGCTGTCTCAAGGTGGTGGTGGACAGCATTGAGGTTAGAGTGGAGTCCGCGTATGTTGCAGAACTCGACCTCAAACAGCGTTGAAGGCGTGGGGGTGTGCACCGCTGAACGTCCAAACTTTGTTTTAAGAGCTGCCATTATGGTAGTAAAAAAGAGACGTGAAACGAGTAGACTTTGTCGCGACAAGACCGGGCAAATTAGGAAGGCATGTTTCCCCGAATGATTGCCTGCAGAGGATATACGCCGACCCGCCGGACGGAAGGGCCCCCGCACCCTCCCGGAAGTGGCCGCCGGGACCCCACGCCCCGGTCACCAACCGGCACGACGGTCCACCCCGAGATTATGCGTGACATGATAGGGCAGCCTCGCGAACTGGTTAGGAACGCTCGGGCCCCTGTACTGTGCCACGGGCGGCCAGCGGGACAGCCGTTTCTACGGGTCTCCCTGGCCGGCGGGTCGATGCAGTCCTCCCGGCATCGGTTCGACGGATGCCTCGCCCTGGACCGAATCCGTCGCGACAACCTCCACTCGAGCCCTGGTTGTACGCTGGCTGACCTCGAAACGCGCGAGAAGCACTTCACGGGTTTTTCACCATGCGCACGGTGGTAGCAAACCAGGCGGGTGTTAGGCACCCTACCACCAGAGGAGCGGATGGAAGCTCCGATATCCCTTAGTCGCCTTTTACGACACCCACGGGAAGAGAAGGGGCGGTGAGTTGTATTCTTTTTCCGTCACCGCACGGATATATTTACCCTTTCGTACAGTATCAATCTTTTTTAAGTCAAATAAACTCTTTTTGCGTCTGGTTAGACTATCGAACTTAAGGAGTAAACTCCAGTCGTGCGTCGGAGCTGACACACACAATTTTTTTTCGAGTTTTTTAAATGTTTATGGCCATTGGTTGTAACCGCAAATGTGTATCCCTATTCCGATACGACACACGGGGAAAATCCGCTGTGCCATACCTCTGTTAACTTTTAAATCTCAACTGCATTTTCCCCTTTCAGTTCACCACTTAAGCTAAATATCAGGAAAGATTCGAGGGAAACGCATTTAATAAAAAAAATATGATACTTACCATAATTTGAATCTTGTAGAACATTTGGGCGTATTCCATTGGTTTGCATTCGAGCACCAGGTCCATTGGTATAAGATAGCGTCATGTAGGGTACACCGTTGTCGTCGATAGAGTTTGAAGGGCCCAGTATGTCACTACCTCGAGGGGTGTACCCGTTGAAAGCCATGACATGCGCGTGGTCGGCGGTCACCACTAGGAGTGAGTCATCCTCCGAGAGCAGCTCAGCGGCGCGCGCCACCGCCTTGCTCAGCTCGATAGTCTCATCCAAAGCTAAGTGCACATAATTTTCATGGTGACCGTGATCTATTCGTCCTCCTTCCACAAATAGGAAGAACCCTTTCTCGTTGCGACTCAGTGATCGGATCGCAACCTCTGTTAATTCAGCGAGCGTTGGTTCTGTTACATTGTTAGCTTCTAAATGATATTGCATGTGATTACTTTCGAAAAGACCCAATAAATAATCAGGCGGAGAAGACGAGAGTTCCATCAACTCAGTTCTGTTCCATACGTATCTGTGAGAAACATTTTGAGATCTCTTGCTAGCTTGCCATTCTTCTATTAAATTGCGCCCATCAGTTCTTAGCCCTCGTTCATTTTCTTCGTCGGTCATGTTGACTGGTAAAAATTCACGGCGTCCACCTCCTAAAATTACCTGGATAAAAAAAGTAATCGTCAGTGTAATAATAAATTATTAGTACAATAACCTAATACGTAGATTTTCATTAACTCTGGCAAGTTATATTATTTATATTAACATACCTTTAACTGGTTTCCTGGAGACATGTTGATCAATTGATAGGCGATGTCGGGACAGAGGTTGGTGTCATGGCCCGCGCTGGTAACGGCCGCGTCATTCTCCCAGTTGCGGTTAGCCACCGAGGCGTACAATCCCGCCGGCGACGCGTGCGTGATGCGGGTTGTGGTCACCACACCTGCAATTCATACGAGGTTGTAAAGCCACACTGTTACACAGAGGCAGTGGATCACAACTTGCTACAGTCCTTTCTGCCGCACATCTTTCGACCCTTTCAAATCTATCGATAATTGATGCACGCCTATCAGCTTTTGCTATTAGTTATGCAATCTTTATCAAGACGACACGCAGACATTTTGATTTGCAGTTTGATAGTCATTTTTATACATGTTCCTTAGGGTCCAGACCTTCATGATTATGCTCTTTCAATCTTTGTCACGCCATATTCTGTCATTCCACACCATTCCCCAAACTGTCACTGATGTTCACACCACACGAATGCATGACTATTTCTTTAGTCAACTTGATATTTTTGACACATCTAGGATGCACTGATATCCGTAAAGTCTAGTATCAGTACATTTTTCTAATTTATAATTAAAAGAAGAAGATTATTAGTTTTAAATGAAAGGGGGAAACGAACCTGCATCACGGCCATCCTGCAGCGCCCAGGCGGCGATGGACTGTACATGCGTGGCGCGGTCCGTGGAGGCTGTGCAATTGAAGCGAGGCACGGCGCCGGTCAAGCCTATAGTGCCACTGTTCGCCTTCACACCACACAAATAAGCCGTGGCAGTACACGCTGAATCAGCTATTTGAGCATTTAGACAATAAGTCTGGAAAGCAATAACTTTGTTATAATACTTACACGTAGTTATGTTTGGAATAGTAGTGGTAGAGGACGGTAGCTGGTAGGTATTTTTTTGATGATGCACCAATGTTGGTGCTCTCAAATTCCTTAAGAGATATAGTGTGACGTGAACATATTAAGTATATAAGATTGTTGTTCTTGAGCTAGGTGAATTGATATCATAATAACCCATTGCGCGCTAGCTACGGCAAATAAAAATAAGATAAGCTAATTATCCGGTAAGATTCACTCATTTCATTCAGAAATATGTTACGATTCACCTTTGATAGTCCGACTGAAGGAAAGGCTTCGAAGGAGAGCTGTGCCTCCTCGCCGGTGCGTCCCTGGCGCTGTCCCAGCAGCGTGCGCGCGGCGGCCAGCGTGGGCACCGACATGCCGTCGCCCAGGAACATCACGATGTTGCGCGCGACACCACCGTTGTCGGGGGCACGCTTCTTGCGCTCACTGATTGCGGCGGCGGCCTCGTTTGCCCAGTATTCCGCGGTTGCTTCGCGACCATTCGTTTGGCCGTAGCTGCGATCGCTATCACGGAGCTGGGACTGCCGCGCCGTGTCGTGATAATGGATCTCGGCAGCGGCGGCCAGCGCCGGCAGCAGCAGCAACAGATTAGCGAGCATGTTGTAGCGGACTGAACTGTCGAATCGTTTTTAATGCCTTTATTATTATATTTACACTGTAATCTTATCATCATTATACCACTGTACAGATGATAGTTTTTAAATAATAATTCATTAATTTTCTTGTAGCCACATAGGGTTCCATATTATTTATTATTAAAAGGGAAGTATTAAGTAAAGTATTAATTACTAAAAGAGATTATATTTTGCAAGCGCATCGCTTACAACATGGTATAGACAATGTGTTTACCTTCGTGGATGGTAACATCCATCCAGATTTGTCCGAACATGTCCGGATATTTTGCCTTTACTCCGGACTTTATCCGGCTTTCTAATTTGTCCGGTTTTTTTTAATTAGTTGGAATATGAGTAAAACTGCTTATTAGGTCTTTAATAAAAAATATAAAACTTATTTATTATTAACAATATTTCCGAAATACTATATTAAGTAAACTAAAAGAGAAAATAGATTAAAACTACTAAATAAACTAAATACTTATACCAAACTAAAAATAAAACTATATTATGTAAAAAATCGACCCCAAATCGTTGCGCTCGAAGGGTAGGGTGCTCAAGAGGCTGGCGGCATTACCCCGTTGAATGGCCGGGCTCAACCTTTGTCCGAAATGCGTATCAAATAAGTCAAATAATCTTTATTAAGTTCTCATTAATTTAAAACAAAATATGTCATCTTTAAAAATCAATAACGAGACCCCCCCTGCGATGCGAGCGTCTTTTACCACGCGTATAATATCACTGTAACTAAGTGGATGATTTTGTGACTAAAATATCCGGACTTTTATTGAAATGTCCGGCGTTTTGTCAGGACTTTTCAAATTTTCAAATACTAACCTTCCTGCGCGGGACAGTACGTTTTTACCAAAATCTCCTGCTGAGCATAACCCCAATAACATTTTTAGTGAAAAATGTCACAACAAAGATGGTTGCTTCTTTTGTTTATTGATAAATTGTGTCTCGGTCTAAAACATAGTAATATTCCAGCGACTGATTCCCTTTGATTTACAATTTCAAAGTTCATACCGATAGAGTTCACAGGACTTATTAAATTATTTTATTGTACATTTAGAAAAGGTGTGTTTACGTTAAATACTACTGAACCCTAATATCAATTAGTTTAATCTAGAATAATTTGTCAAACAGAATTGTATATAAAATAAATGTGATAATGATCTGCCAACCTGTATGCGAGTGAGCCGACATTATGAGTCACGAGTTGATACAATGATTGCTGTATCTTTTGATGTATTGTGTGCGTTTAATTTTTAATTATTTTTATGGTACCTAAACGTTTGAGTCAAGGTCAAATGATCTTTTTGTTGGAGTTTTTATTTTATGATACAGGAACATAACGTAGGGATATGAGTTTGCTACAGAGGAACACTTAATACCTGTCCGAGACGAGTGCACGGTTCACACACGTTTTGTACTTCACTGCGCGATCATAAGGCTGAGTTACAACAATTCATAAATGAGCGTTAAGCATTTCGTTTCATTATTCCGCAAAACATTACTATTCATATCTTTTTTATTGTACAGTCATGACGGATCTACAGATTTGCTGTAGTAAAATTCAAGAAGCCGGAAAAGGTTTAATAAACCGGAGTTATCTACTGATAATACTAATTGTTGTACATTAATTGCAGTTCAAAGATTAAAGTTTAACGATAAGATATTATAATTAAATATATTTAAATAGAAAGGAAAATGAATCGATATAGTTTGTCTACTAGGACAACCTAATCATGCTTCTAGTATATTTTACGGTTTTGTTGTTGCTGCCGTGTAGTCAGCGTGTTGTTTGTGGTGATGAATATCACCCCGATATTGATGAAGAAACGCGTTTAAAAGTAGAAGATAGAGTGTCGCGTAATGCTGGTGAAAGTACAGCACAATACTGGTATGAGGAAGCGCGTGGTGCGATTCGTAAGCGTCAGGTGCGCGACCAAAGGCGCAGTGTAGCCCGCAACCTGGTGATGTTCCTCGGCGACGGTATGTCCGTGCCCACGCTGGCCGCCGCGCGCACTCTGCTGGGACAACGTCAAGGCAACACTGGCGAAGAAGCCAAACTCTCGTTCGAGAACTTTCCGTCCGTCGGCCTCGCTAAGGTAATTATCTCGCCTGAGTCTGCGTCTATTTTACGATTGTTAGGAAAAAAAAAAAGGATTTATTGGCCATAAGTTGGTACATAAGTAGAAAAAAAAAATCAATGAGCAAAATTCAATTCAATTCAATTCAATTCTTTATTGCATATCCACAATGTACAAAAAGATGTTAAATATGACAAAATACGATCATTATGGACCCTGTCGGGCACGCAACGAAATGAGAGATAGATAGAAGAGAGGAGTTACATTAAAAACAATAAAATTAAAACAAAACAGAGAAAATACACATGAGAACAAAGAATGGCCAATCAGGACCCTGCCTCAGCTTAATGCTGTTATTGTGGGAACGGATATTCCCACCGTAACAGTGCTGGTATTCTGGCAGGGCCTGTGTAAGGACGCCAGAGGGACAAAATATTAAAGTGATTTAAAATTATATAATGGTATAAATAAAAAAAAAAACAAAATAAAAATAGGTAGTTAAATGCAAATATATATAAGTACACACATCAAAAGTGTCTAGGGATCAAGCATTTTTATGCGGATTTCTTGAGATTGAGATGTGGCTTTGTAATAAATTTATGATTTTATAAATTTATATGGATCCTTTTTGGTGCATTTCATAATTTGAATCAGGAACTGTGAATCAAATTCGAGTAAAAGATGAAAATCAGCTGTCAATATTTTCCCTATAAAAACATACAACGCATTGAAGACATTATTAGTGCTACTGTTTCCCTACTACTGATTAAAACCAACGTTATTATGGAGCGGCGACGTCATTTAAGCAGGGAAGAAATGCTCAGAGCCGTGGGAATGATAGAAGCTGGTTCCCGGCAACGTACTGTGGCTTTAGCTCTGAATACAAGTCAGAGTGTTATCAGTCGACTTTGGACACGATACCGAAGCACTGGTACCGTGGCTGAGCGCCATGGAGGACGGTATCGCTGCACCACACGGAGACAAGACCGATACATTCAAATCTTAACTCGAAGAGCTCCAACAATAACCGCCATGATGTTAGCCGTGAGGCTTCATCACTCTTCAGGGAACTTAATTAGCGACCAAACAGTCAGAAACCGCTTGCATGAAGTGAACCTTCATTCCCGAAGACCGCTACGGGTACCACCTATAGCAATGCACAATCGTAGGATTCGATATCAATGGGCTCTTGAACACAGAAATTGGGCAGAAGAACAATGGCGTTTCGTGTGCTTTTCTGATGAGTCTCGTTTTGGTATGAGACCGGATACAAGACGTATACGACACTGGAGAACCCCTGGACGCCAACAGCGATTAAAATCCTGCCAGGAAGTCCATCCTTATAGTGGTGGAACCATCATGGTATGGGCGGGTATTTGGATCGGCGGAAGAACTGAGTTGATTTGGATCAGAGGCAACCTCAACGCTCAAATTTATGCTGAGACGATTGTATCAGACGTCATCGTTCCTCTACAAGTGCAAATCGGTCCCTTATTTCAGTTAATGCATGATAATGCACGACCGCACACCGCAAGAGTTGTAAGACAGACTCTCGCCGCAGCTAACATCAATGTCCTGCCCTGGCCTGCTCAGTCGCCAGACTTGAACCCGATTGAGCATGCATGGGATATGCTACAGAGAAGAGCTCTGCCGAATATGGAGGGTATCCAGTCGCAAGAAGACCTTTTTTTGTTGTTGCAACGAACATGGGCGGCCATTCCACAGCGTGATTTGGATGAACTCATTTTGAGTATGCCAAACCGATGTTCTTGTGTTGTTAGTGTTCGCGGTAGAAATACGGATTATTAATTGTTTAAGTTACCCAATAAAATTTTAGAGAAAACTGTTATTTCAGTCTTTTTTTCGAACTTTTGTGTTAGTGGTTCAAATGTCAAAAATCCCTGTATTAGGAAAATGGCAAATTTCTTTATTAATGCAAAGGTGACTTGGTTTATCGTTACTGTGACAAACGAAAACACTTTATTTGATGAATCCTTAAAGAAAATTTTAATTAATATCAATCAGGAGAAAAGTTATTGCAAAAATATATGTTGATCCCTAGACACTTTTGATGTGTGTATTATGATGCTTAAACTATGTTACATAAAGAATAAAAGTATATTAGGATAAAATATTAATGAAAGTTATAACAATAATAAGGCCGAATATGCTATTATCCTCGCCCATCCTGCAAAAGCCGCACTCGGAGTGTAGCACAGAACGCAACCACGCCGGCACACCCTGACATTGACAGTGGCACTGACAGTAGATGATTACCATTTCGAACTTGTTTTTGTTTATATTCTAGACGTACTGTGTAAATCAACAAATACCTGACTCGGCGTGCACCGCAACAGCGTACCTATGCGGCGTAAAGAATAACTATGGTACCCTGGGTGTGACGGCAGCAGTGCGACGCCGTGACTGCGCTGCCTCTACGGAAACTGCAAACCGCTTGGAGTCCATTGCCGCGTGGGCTCTGGAGCATGGGAAAGATATTGGTATGTTTTATCATGTTTTTAGCCGAGAATTACCATAACTATGCTTAATGACTGTCAGATCGTGAAAATAAAATAGTGAGAATTCGTTTTCAGGCATTGTAACGACGACGCGTATAACACACGCATCCCCTGCGGGTGCGTTTGCTAAATCAGCTAATCGGAACTGGGAGCATGACGGTCTAGTGCGTGAAGATAGTCACGATCCTGCGCAATGTCCAGACATCGCCCACCAGCTCATACACGAGCACCCTGGCAAACACTTCAAGGTATAGTTAAGATTTCCCAGTATGCGATCGGGAATGTCAGTATGAAATCCATTGCTATATGATATGTCATGTATTTAAATATTTAAATACTCCTATATTACTAATATTGTATATTTTAGTATACGTTTTAATGATATTTGTTGATTCAGGTTATATTAGGAGGCGGACGGCGAAATTTTCTTCCAAATTTTACAAGAGATGAAGAAGGAACCAGAGGAAGAAGAACCGACGGGAGAAATCTTATCCACGAATGGCAAGATGACAAAAGAGAACGTAACCTAAGTTTTGCTTACGCTTGGAACAGGGCTCAACTCATGTCTCTAATGGAATCTCCACCTGAATATCTTCTAGGTTTATTTGAAGGAACTCATTTGCAGTATCACTTGGAAGCCAACAAAACTACTGAGCCTACATTATCAGAACTAACCGAGATAGCTATTCGGTCTCTGAGCCGCAGTGAGAAAGGATTCTTCTTGTTTGTGGAGGGTGGACGCATCGACCACGCGCACCACAGCAATTACCCGCACCTGGCGCTCGACGAGACGATTCAATTGAGTGAGGCGGTGGCGCGCGCTGCTTCCATGTTGCCTGAAGAAGATTCATTACTAGTGGTAACCTCTGACCACGCTCATGTCATGGCTATTAACGGGTACAGTCCCCGAGGCGAAAATATTTTAGGCCCCTCTAACGATAGAGACTCTGATGGGGTTCCGTACATGACTATATCTTACGCTAACGGGCCTGGTGCACGTGCGCAGAATAATGGCAGTCGCCCAAATGTCGTTGTTGAAAATGACTTTGGTAAGAGTTTTGTTTTCTGGTTTTTATTGTTTTTATTACGTATGGCACCATAAGATACTAATAATGTTTGCTGGCAGGTCGTTTGCGTTGGCGCTCGCACGCCGATATGCCACTGTCGTCGGAGACGCACGGCGGCGACGACGTGGCGGTGTTCGCGCGCGGGCCGCACCACCACATGTTCACCGGCCTGTACGAGCAGAGCCAGCTGCCGCACCTCATGGCCTACGCTGGCTGCATAGGCGACGATGCCGTAAACTACTCCCATTGCCAATAATTTTAATATGGTCAGGAAATTTAGTTCGTAAACATACAAACCTTCCTTCTCTTTTAGTAACCTTAAATTGCACAGTATTATAATGGGAAAAATATATCAATATATAAATCCTATGGTGCTTTCGTTAAAGTGATACAGCTAAATCACTATTTTGATTGACTGGGTATAAGTGGTTTTTCTATAACACTGACAGTATTCTTAATAGTTATCTCCGTTCATAGACTATCGCTGATTATTCCATTTGCTTCTCAAACGCGGTTTAAACAAAGAAAACATTAATAATATAAAAACAGTACTTATTTATAGTGCAATGTAGCTTCAATGACCCAAATGAGGAACATTGCTAAGCCGTAGGCACGGTAATAATATCATAAATATTACCGTGCCGTAGGGCTATATCTAATCTAAAAAAATCTTAGGTTTTCATGATGCACAATGCACTGGTGTTGTCTGCGCGTGGTACAAACAAGACTGATAAAAAGTCATAGTCATAGTCATAATGTTCAACGCACAAGCTAATGGATTATGTCAGAATGCGTGGCAGCCGCGAGTAAAATGTCATGACCGTGATATTTTGTTAGTTATCACAAGCTTATCGTTTCATAGCTCAGCTGATTAGGATGCGGGTACAGTACCCCTGCTTCGACTATCCCCTCTGGGGGGGGGGGGGAGTGTTCGGTGACGTCTTGTATATAATCCGCTATCTTTTAATCCAACTTATCGTGGCTATAAATTACAAATAATTACTGGAATATTGTTATTGCCAGATAATCTTAGGCTTAATCAATTGCGACGTTTTTGGTATGGCTACAGGAAATACTTTGTATTTTAAGTTATTTACGGGATTGTTACCATGTACCTTGTTTTTAGCGAGTTTCCGATATTTCGGCACTGTTACAAGCGCCATGATCACGGAGTAACTGAAGTAATTGCGGGTAGGCTGTTATTGGCAGACATATCGGTCTACCCTCCGACGAAGTCTTTTATTGCGTTCGATATCGTATCGTATCGATTATCGATCGACCCGTAAATAACTTATATTACTATAATGTTAGTGACCATGAAAGTTTAAAACAATATATACTTTGTATTTGTCTATGTTATTTATATTTTGTATGTATGTATAGATTATTATAATTTTGCTGTATTATTTGATATTCATTTAAATCAGTGAATAAAGTAATCTTAGAACAAAGTTTAAATGAATATTTTAAGGTGATAGTTAACGAGGGCTTTCAGAAAAATGTATTACTACTTGATTGGTGCTATTGCGGCGTGAAGATTTTAGTATGGAGTTTTTATCATGATATTCTGAATATTTTAAATACAATGTACTATGATACGTTGCATTTAAATTATCAGAAATTTTATCATAGACAAATACAATAAGCGGCCACCTAGCGCGTGTCATTTCTGAACACACCTATAATCGTGGAACTTTGTGTATGGATTAAATTACATTATTAGGTATCTGTGAACTGCATGAATGAAAATGTTGTTAAAGACTTATGATTGAATATACAGACAACTTCATTTGTTATATTCCCATCTAATGTTAAGTGTCAATTGAGACCAGGTGCTTTTGCCAGATTGATTTACCTTTACTATCGTGTTTACGATTTGAAATGTATAACGCCATCTAGTGGTACGTAAATGAATTTATTTACTTCGTACTAATTTCGAAGTAAACGCAAACGCGATATTGAAGTTAAATCGAGGCGCAACTCACACTTGGATCGCAGGCGTTAAGTCAGTTCAGTCAGGTTAGGAATTGGGATGATGACTAATTTTTTTTTCTTCGTTTATCAGGTAGATTATCAAAAAGTATTGGACACGTATTTTTTCTTTTTTCACATAATATAAACATTGCAGAGAAAATTAACTCAAAAGTGACGTCACGAGCCCCTACTCCCAAACTTTGACGCGCTATAACTTTGTCATTTTTTGGTTGATTGCCCATAGAAAAAATACGTTTTTGTTTCTTAGGTTTTCACGCACATCACTCATTAAATAAAACTAGTTTTTACTGGTTAATGTACGAAACTTTATTTATTTATTGACGTTTCGTAGCCTTTACAGGCTACGTCGTCAGAATTCTGACGTGAGAGTTCCCGGGTAAACAGTTGCGGCCGGCGAAGCGCCAGAACAATATATATTTCTGAGATTTTGAATTTATATTAGGCAATACAGTTTTATGGAGGAGCTCGATGGCGCAAGTGGTTAGCGCGTTCGGCTGCGATCGTTGAAATTAAGCAACTTTCGCAGTGGTCGGTCAATGGATGGGTGACCAAAAATCTTCTATCTCGAGTTCCCCCGTGCTTCGGAAGACACGTTAAGCCGTTCGTCCCGGCTGCATCTGCAGTCGTTAGCACCAATCCGCATTGGGCCCGCTTGGTGGGTCATGGCCCAATCTCCCTATTCTATCCATAGGGAAGGCCCCAGCAGTGGGGACATTAATAGGCTGATGATGATGATGATGGTGAATACAGTTTAGAGCCGTAAAACGGATTTATCAGGGAGATGGCGATTCCTCCATGACGTAATTTATATGATAGAAATGGGTTGAAATAAGGAACATCGTTTGTATATGGCACTTTTTCGTTAAACTTCATCTTTATTATCCTACCGGTACCCCGCGCCCCCCATCGCCCGGCGTCAGTGGCTCGCAATTAATACAAAGTACAAAGAAAAAGGTCAATTTTAAAGAAATGCAAGAAAAGCGCTTCATTACATCAGAAAAATTATGTCACGTACGTACGATATGAAGTTATTATCCGACGTCCAAGCGAACGAAGTCGCGGGTACAGCTAGTATAACATAAAAATAAATATTTGTGTTTTAAGTCACTGTCCGAAATAACTTTAAATGTAAGAACTATAATTAAGTGGTTATGAGTAAGTAATAAATTCCGTATGTCGTTCACAATTCATTATTGTTATCGAACACTACAAATCAATCAATTTTGAAACGTTTTTTTTTTTAATTTTTCGTTCTGATTAATTCTTCAAAGAATTATTGAATGTTAAAGGGGATTCGATCGTTAATCTCAGTAACCGATCCCAGGTTTGTTGTGATTTAATCAACACAAGATTTGATGCGGAGATCGACAAGAAAAGCAGACGTCGCACGTTGAGACACAAGACTGTCTCAGGTGTAGCCATTGTATGCTTACATTTGATTAACTCATGCAAATGTGCTGCACGAAATTGTATTGCATCAAGACATAACAGAATTGGCGAGCATAAAATTTTTTAGTGAGTTGAAGTGGCGAACACAACAACTTTATACCCGCCATAGGGTGCGGCCAGAGTGCACTCAGATTCAGATTCAGATTCAGATTCTGAAAACAAGCGCGAGAAATAAACAGTGTAGTCTAAGCAGGTTGCCTGCTTTTTCTCGTTTTTTCTTTTCTGAGTCTGAATCTGAATCTGAATCAGGAGTGCACTCTGGCCGTACCCTTCGACTACACTGTTTATTTCTCGCGCTTGTTTTCAGAATCTGAATCTGAATCTGAATCTGAGTGCACTCTGGCCGCACCCATACACACTACGAGAAATCGTTACGATCAGACTGTACAGTTCGGACGGTACAGTTTATACGATTTCGTTTAGTATAGGAAACTGTGCAGTTTTATAACATACACGCTACGATTTATCGGTACCGTCGGACTGTACAGTCTGATCGTAACGATTTATCGTAGTGTGTATGGCGGGTATTAGACTGAGAACCTAGTCAGAAATGTGTAAAGTCGAAAACATTTTAGAAAGATGTATTATCATAGGAGAAATTTATATATATCGCCATATTCGATATCAATGTTATTTTTATCTAGGAACGTTAATGCTTTAATCTCTGTACTACAAGTTATTTAAGTAACCTACCTATATTATGTACTGGAATATCCTGGTATGAATAAAACTGATTAACAAGATCTGATAAACATGCCAGAATCACGAAGGATGTAGTTGTTACGTAAACAAAGCCGAATATATTTCTGTAATCGAGAATAAGTAAAGCCTATTCTACACGGATGTAATCCAGGGTCCCAACAAAGGTGACCATGCCCGTTGCCATCCATCTAGACGAAGGATGTAATCCAAATTTGGATTAAGAATAGGCTTTACAGTAGAGAACACCGTTTCTTACCAAAAAAATATTAATGACTAAGCTTAATAATAAACAAATGAACTCAGTTACGCTGTTAAGCCTATGCTAGACTGATGTAATCCCCCTGGATTACATCAGTACCCAACAAAGGTGACCTTAAATTAAAACTAGTTTTTACGGGTTAATGCACGAAACTTTATTTATTTATGACGTTTCGTAGGCTTTACAGGCTACGTCGTCAGAATTAAACTTTTATTTAATTTGTCGATCTACCTTCAAAAGACTTTTATTGAGCGTTCGGTTATTTCATTGTTCGATTTTTAAAGTTTTATTGTCTATGTATGAATTTATTATTTTATTTAGTTAATAAAGTATTTTATTTAAATTCTTTTTTGTAATTTTGAGTTTATTTATTTGACCCTAACTACCGTAAACTACCACCGGTTCCAAAATTGGGAGACCTTTCTGAGAAGAACCGGCGAAACAAACTCAAGAGAGGCTTTCTATCTCCTTCTTATATTAAATTATGCAAACAAAAAGAACTAATAGTATCTGATGGTCTTGCAGTGTGTGACCTTGCCCGTTGCCACCCATCTAGACAAGAGATGTAATACAAATTTTGGTTTGACCTTCAACGTCCTTGGATTATGGGCGCGTGTTTCCATTCGCGGTTGGAGCTCGTGGATTACAACCGTTTGGCCGGCGGATTACATTCAACCAAGGCAAGGACAGTTGTGCTGTGGCAGTCAGTGGTTGCGCACGTATGTGTGCACGTATTCATAGGAAGTTTTGAATATCATTAAAGTCCAATAGCTCCAATAAGTTTGAGTGATTGAGAATCGTTTGCTCTTTTAACCAACTGTAGAGGAGGTTTCTTGGAATAATTAACGCAGAACTCGAAATAAATAATATTAATTCGCTGTTTAATAATAATATTTGAAGAGAAGAGTAAAAGTACAATCGATCGACACGCGCCGAAAATTGAATAATAATAAAAAGAGTTAATAAAAATAATAATTTGTAGCCTTGGCGTCAACACCAACGCTTCATCCATTTTCTCTTCTTTTTTTTTTTAGTTTTCGTCGGCTATTGCACACAACACTACTGAGGCAAAACCCACATTTGAAATTTAAACAAACTTGGAGCCATTTCTACAAAACGGTTAATACAGTCCGCGCACGATACGAGTGCATACGTGTATTCACGCCAGAAGACGGCTAGCAATTGCGTGTTGGCGCGTGGATTACATCCGTGTAGCCGAAAATCAAAACGCGGATGGAAACCAAGTTCCCACCAAGGTCACCTTGGTCGGTACGCTGGATTACATCCGTCTAGAATAGGCTTTATGTAGGAGCTCACCAAATCTCCTATATCTTCATGTCCTATTGGAAGATTAAGGACTACCAAGAACTGTTATTCTACATTCATTAAATTTCACAGAAAAAATTGAAGATAAAGACTTATTTTTTAACTTTATTGTATTTTTTATTATTGGTTGTAATAACAGCCGCAGTAATACGCATTCTGTGAGAAATTTCTAGTATCATTTATAGTTAGATGAATGATTCGTGACAATAGAGCCCTGTGACAGACGGACAGTCAGCGTAAGCATATGGATCAGGTTCCGTTTGGATACCCAACCTTAAAAACTGAGCATAACCACTGAATCGCGGCTTCATCTGCCGAAACTCTAGATAGCACATATATAGGGTTTCCGTTTGTCGTGCGTGGGAGTGTCGTGTATAGGACAAGCAGAGTGGTGCGGAGTCAATTTTTCATCAAAGCCCCATTAAGCCGCTCCAATAAAAGTCATGGCGTCGTCGTCTCCGCGGCGCGGGTAATGACCCGGCGAAATTGGCACAAGTAGCGAACTACGAGCGCTCCCTTCATCCTTACTGCCTCGCACAACATTCGCATTACCTACCTCTATTATAGTTGTAATAAATAAGAAATCTCACCCTTAATCTAACAATTGTGTTTTTGACCGTGAGAAATGATAATATGATTTATTTCCTCATGCGACGCATGAGGCGTTATCGTGAAAATTTAATCAGAACTCGATACGTATCAGCAGTTTGACACGATAACCTTGATAATGAGCCGTATGCTGCGGAGACTGGAACTGATCAGTGATCTGAGAGCGGTCGGGAGACGAGTAACACAGAAATGAGGTTGCGTTTATTTTTGTTGGTTGTTTTGGTGCACTCGTCGTTCGGTAGGTCTTCGTTGGGTACAAAAACAAGCTTTTGCAAGCGCTTTTTTGTAATGTGGGTTTTCAAGTCGGTGTCTTGTTTATGCGTAGAGCGAGATGTCTACCACAAGGCGTGGCGCGGAGGCGCTTCAGAGTTGGTGGAGGAAGAACAGGAGTCGTCGTTCTGGCACCGAGAAGCACGCGCCGCGATCGAAGCGCGCGAGGCGAGACAGCGCGAGTCGCACGGCGTCGCGCGCAACGTCATAATGTTCCTGGGCGACGGCATGTCGGTGCCCACGCTGGCCGCCGCGCGCACGCTGCTGGGACAGCGGCAGGGACGCACGGGAGAGGAGGCACAGCTCTCCTTCGAGACTTTCCCCTCCGTTGGCTTAGCTAAGGTTCAACTCTATAACTTGCTCCTTTATTTTGTAACTTAGTGCTAGGCCGCACTACGGCGAAACCGCCGCGGTTTTATACCGCGTAGTTTTGTGAATCATGGAAACTAATGCAAGCGGCCGCACCAGCGGTTTTTGCCGCGACTGATTTTAAAACCGTGATTTGTTACAGAATAGCTCGCGGGTAAAAACCGCGCCAAAATTTGTAGTCCATCCAATATATTTACGGAATTTGTGACGACGTTTTCTTTTTCTATTTCTTAGTATTAAAGCAACAAAACATACAGCTCTCTTGAAATCCATTCTCAAACTGTGATAAATCGTGTCTAGTTTCGCGGTTTTTAATCGTAGTGTGTGTGCTTCGGGCGGTTTCGCGGTTTTGCGGTTTACCGCTTGCGGGAAAAAACCGTAGTGCGGCCTAGCACTTACTCCCTAATATTGACTGTTTAGCACACCTAGGCACTAGTGTGTAAAAGCGTAGGCGGCTAACCGTGCGACTAGCCGCTGCGTGGCTAATGGCGTACGATCACCCGCGGTTGCATAAGTAGGTAGTGCCAAAATGAAAACCGCGAAAACCGCCAGTATGTATGAATAATTAGGGTTGGCATGGCATATTGAGAAGTCCCTGAAATATACGAACAATAGAATTAACACGTTATGAAATTGACATTAACGTAAAATTTGACATTTTAAAGCCATTTCCATGGCTTTTTCGCACATGATAGCTTGTTAAGATCTTTTATATGAATATGATGTACATATTTTAATCAATATAAAAGCGACTAAGTGCGAGTCAGACTCGCCCATGAAGGGTTCAAGTAACATATATAAAAGATCTTGTAACTTTGATCGATGTTTTAATAATAGTGTATATTTTTAAAGATAAATTGCGGTTTACGATTTATGATGTATTAAAAAACGACTTACTAGATCTCGTTCAAACCAATTTCCGGTGGAAGTTTGCATGGTAATGGTACATCATATAATTTTTATCACTGATTCACTGATTTTGAAGGAAATACCTAAGTACAAATGAAACAAGGTTAGAGGAGTTGCCAAAGTCTAACACTACTACGATTACTTGTTTCAGCAGATTTCTAAGAATATCAATCCGCGATAGGTTAATTTTATATCTACATTCTGAAACATAGTGGGATTTTGGTTGTCAAGTTCATAGATATCATTTTTATTTTTTTATTTTACCATTCCCCTATTTTAGAAGTTTTACCAATTTGGAAGTGTGTATTTTTGTGTGAAAATCTTAATGCGGTTCACACAACACATCTACTTAACAAGTTTCAACAGTATAGTCCTTGAACTTCCGGAAAAAAGTGGTTGTGACGTACGGACGGACAGACAGACAGACATGACGAATCCACACGGGTTCCGTGTTTTGCTATTTGGCTACGGAACGCTAAAATGGGTAAATGTCAAAAATTGCATTGCAGTATTACCAATATAGTAACGTGGTGGACCTCCATAACACAAATTCTGTAATGCATGTATGTGGTTGTTGCAGACGTACTGCATAGACGCACAGGTAGCAGACTCCGCCTGCTCGGCGACCTCGTATCTGTGCGGCTCGAAGGCCAACTACGGCACCATCGGAGTCACTCCCGCCGTCTCGCGCTCCCACTGCAGTAGCGCCCTCGACCCGCGCCACCACGTGCACTCCATCGCTGCGTGGGCGCTGCAGGCGGGCAAGGACGCTGGTTGGTTACCCTTATACAGCACCATATTGAGGAGTTCGATGGTGCAAGTGATTAGCGCGTTCGACTGTGTCGTGTCTGTGTGATCGTTGAAGTTAAGCAACTTTCTCAGTAGTCGGTCATTGGATGGGTGACCAAAAATTTACTATAAATAAATAAATATTTCCAACACTCACACCGATTGGCCTAGCCCCAAAGTAAGCACTGTAAGGCTTGTGTTATGGGATGCTAGGGTAACGGATAGAAATACATATTAAACATCCATGACTGGAGTGCAAATGCTCGTGTTCGTCACACAAACATCTGCCCCCACCGGGATTCGAATCCGGGACCTCTCGAGTCAGTGACACCATGAAACCCGGCGTACAAACCACTCGGCCACGGAGTTCGTCTATCTCGAGCTTCTCCGTGCTTCGGAAGGCACGTTAAGCCGTTGGTCTCGGCTGCATCTGCAGTAGTTAGCACCGACTGATCACCATTGGACTCGCGCGGTGGGTCATGGCCCAAACTCCCTATTCCATCCATAGGGAAGGCCTGTGCCCCAGCAGTGGGGACATTAATAGGCTAATGATGATGATGATGACACTCAATCCAAATATGTTTCATCTTTACTTTACTTTACTCCCTCAGTGTGGTGCAGCCACTGTAGTGGCGCAGTTGACTTGCGCCAACAGGCTATGTATTTAAGCAAAAATTTACAAAGGATAAAAACTCCAAACAGCCAAATAACTCACACATATTGATTGAAGTAAAAGAAAATATAATAATAATTCTTACACCAATTAAGCTAGCCCAGGAATAAGTGCTGTATCAGGATAGAAATACATAGGCAAGGGATAGAAATACATACAATATTTTTGTAGAAAAAGATTTTACTTTTACTAAAAAAAATACACGTGGACCAGGCAGCACACTGGACTTGAACCCGCACCTTTTCCTATCCGGGCGAATGCACTGACCATTGTGCTACCGCGGCCCTCTAGCCTTTCTTAGGCTGCAAGGCAGCGCCATCTCTTCGCATTGTAGGTAAACCACACGCTGCTTTCTTTAGATTTAAATATCTAGCAGTTAAATGCTTAAAAATATAACATGGTATAATTTCAAATGCTCGTATTCATTATACGAATATTTGCCTCTGCTAGGATTCAAAACCAGGATTTCAATTACGCGTCACCCCAAAAACAGTTGTACATAATACTGGATCACAAATTTCGTCAATTATGTTAACGCACTTGGGAAATGTTCAAATACCTATTTTTTTTACCCTATTCATTTTTACCCTATTCATTTTTTCAAAGATTAAGTGTGTTGATAGCGGATCGAGTGATAACTTAATACGTAATAAGATAATGTAAGAACATTCAAAACATGATTCTCCTTTATAAACCGCCGCATAAAATTTGTCTCACTTGTGTGTTTGTGTGTGTGTTGTGTGTCTTCACGACTAGATGGAGCCACGATATCTGAAAAACAAAGGACAATGATTGGATGAGGGTAGCTGAAGACCGAGCTCAACGTCATGGCGTGAGAGAGGTCTAAATTCAGCAGGGGACCGTTACGAGCTGATGATGAGTAAAATTGAAAGTCAAACGAACTTACCTATAAGTGACGTTCGACTGATATTATACGATGTGATTCGCCCGAGAGATTACACTTAATTCACTTGTAGTAGCACGCATTATGTGCTGCCATCGTACACGAAGCGAATCACAGAAGTATAATTTTCTTTAGATTTATATAAATGATACTAGCTGACCCAGTGAACTTCGTCCCGCCATAAAAGTAGGGACTGGTGGTAAATTTAGGGTTGTATGTATTTTTAGTGCCACATTATAGAAAAAAAATGTCCTAATATATAAAAGTTTTAGGGGTGGATAACCCCACGTCCCGGTGAAACGGCGCACACTGGCGCCGATCCCTAGATGCCCCCCTCAAGGGCGTAGGAGGGTACCGGTGGTTTTTAGTGGGTAGGACCGGTGCTGTTCCGCGCCGGGGAGTCTCACACACGCCGCGCGTCTAGCCAGCGCGCGGTATGTTCCGTAAATGGATTTTACACCGTTAACAAAAATAAAAGGGGTGGATAACCCCTACCACTTAGGGGGATGAAAGATAGATGTCGTCCGATTCTCAGACCTACCCAATGTGCACACAAAATTTCATGAGAATCGGGAAAGCCGTTTCGAAGGAGTTTAACCACAAACACCGCGACACGAGAATATTATATATTACATAATTGTTTGTGATGATAACAGGCATCGTGACGACGACCCGCGTGACTCACGCGTCCCCAGCGGGCACGTACGCGCACACCGCCGAGCGCGACTGGGAGAGCGACGCCGACCTCACCGCCGCCTGCGCGCGCGCCGGCCCAGACTACACGCAGCGGGACATCGCCGCGCAGCTCGTCCACAACTACCCCGGCAACCAGTTTAAGGTACCACCGACCGTTCATCATCATCATCATCATCATCAGCCTATCGATGTCCCCACTGCTGGGGCACAGGCCTTCCCTATGGATGGAATAGGGAGATTGGGCCGTGACCCACCACGCGGGCCCGGTGCGGACTGGTGGGTGCTAACGACTACAGATGCGACCGGGACCGACGCCTTAACGTGCCTTCCGAAGCACGGAGGAGCTCGAGATAGTAAATTTTTGGTCACCCGTCCAATGACCGATCACTACGAAAGTTGCTTAACTTCAACGATCGCAGCCGAACGCGCTGACCGTTTGCGCCATTAGTTGGGAGTATTTCGCTTCCGCATCTTCGGACGGAAAGTCAAGAAGGTCTGGCAGGAACGGGAACCCGGCAGCCTCCTGCACAGACGCCGACGACGCAAACATGCAGCGAGACATAAACAAATATCGACAACTACCCAGGCAACTATTTAAGGTGTTACTAATTACTTTTAATTAGCACGATTACCGTCAAGTATCTTGTTCGTTGCTATTCTTTTTGTGACGATGAAAATTTAAAACAACATACTGTTTTCAGTACCTCCAAACTTTAGTTATAAAGAACTTGTTACTGCATCTTTGGACAGAATGTTCAGAAACATTGATAGGAACTCTTTGGCAGAGCTAAGGCCCAAGCACGTGTTTTTGACAGCTCCGTAAAGTATCATAATAATATCATTTATTAGCAGACAACACAGATCCATGTGTTAGTATACAATATAACTTACACCTAAATGTTAGTAGGGTGATTCCTGGGACCAACGTTCTTCGCATCAGATCCGTGGTTTTTATTATATTTCATTATTAGAAAAAACTAAAATTATATGGCTGAAGAGGGCTGAAAAACACGTCATTCTGTAGATGAGGCACACACGTAGACCTTATAGATTCTTGAAAAAAAATAGAAAATGTTTTGGCTCGCCACGTATCTGACCAAGGGCATCACGGATCTGACGAAGTATATGAATCAAGTAATGGCGTCGCGTTAGAATCGCCTGTTAGAATGCTGCAATAAAGTATCGTAATCGTCTAAATTTGTATGGAAAAGGCTAGTTTGTTCTTATGTCCGATAGGGGTGCGATAGAAACTTTGACAATCGGATTCATTACGGAGCTGCCAAAAAGTCATGCTTTGGCCGCTGAACTTTCTCAGCCACGGCTTAACACTAAACATTGGAGATATATACAAAACGTAGTATACAGCTCAAGGAAAGTGCTCCATCCCACTAATCTAGCTTCCTGAACCAGAACTAGGTCTTTCCACAAAAACTTTGACAATGCCGATACGAATACTTTCCCTCTAGTAGTGTGTGCTCACCCTTTTGAAATGTTTAATTTAATTCGCATTAGTAGAAAACCATTTCCACTATTCAGAAAATTAATTGTTATTTATATGTTGGTTTCCTAACTAGGTCATATTGGGAGGTGGCAGACGTGAATTTTTACCCAACGATCACGTAGACGAGGAAGGATCCATCGGAAGGCGGGAAGACGGCCGTAACTTAATCGAAGAGTGGCAAATTGACAAACAGTTACGCAACGTAAGCCACCAGTACGTGTGGAACAGGGATCAGCTGATGAACTTGTTGCCTTCACCACCCGAGTATTTGATGGGGCTGTTCGAGGCCAGCCACATGCAGTACCACATGCAAGCGAATGAAAACACTGAACCGACGCTCGCAGAACTGACGGAGGTCGCTATAAAGTCCCTGAGTCGGAACGAGAACGGGTTCTTCTTATTCGTGGAAGGGGGGCGTATTGATCACGCGCATCACGACAACTATCCGCAGCTGGCTTTGGACGAGACTATCCAGTTGAGCGAGGCGGTGGCGCGCGCTGCAGAGTTGTTGCCTGAAGACGAGACGTTGCTGGTTGTCACGGCCGATCACGCTCATGTTATGGCCCTGAACGGGTACACCGCTCGCGGCGGTGACATCCTGGGCCCCGCCGACCAGCTGGGCGATGATGGAGTGCCCTACATGACCCTATCCTACACTAACGGTCCTGGATTCCGACCACACGTAGCTCACGGAGTGCGTGAAGACCTCACCAAGTACAATTATGGTAAGCAGACGCATTTCTTTTATGGTTTGACAAATAACTCCACCCCACCTGATGTTAAGTGACGGTAGAGTTCAGATGCGCAGATAGATGGTACGGCACTTCTACCTGCCACACCAGCCATACTGGCCTGCATGTTGCTTCCGCCTTTACGCCTCTTTTAAAGAATCCCAGGTTGTAGGAGGAACACGTGAGCGGGCAGAGCATCATTTTTAGATAGTGCGATAAAGAAATGAGTCACCTTTTGTGCTCCTGTAAAAGATACTGTTCTGACAGTTAAACAGTAAAATGTTTGTTTTATTTGAAAAGATAAGTTTTATACGTACAAAAGTCTGTCTGTACACTTATAATTGGCTATTATCATTGTGTTCAGAAGCAATTCTAAACTTTCCAAAGAAATAATTGTGTTCTTGCGTCATAACCATACCTTACGATGGAAATACTTTAACAGTTTGTCTTTTTGTTTTCACATTTCAAGTATGTAACGTTATAAACAAAAATCGGCCAAGTGCGTGTCGTGCCACGCGCAGTGTAGGATTCCGTAGTTGCCTGTCGTTACCACAATAGGAGTCTTAATTTTCTGTATCAGAAATTACATAATAAAAAAAAGGTAAATTTAAAAAATCAAAAAACCCGACTGCTTAATTATACTTCAAATAAAAACTGAAAAGAAAAAAACAAGCCCAGTAGTCTATAATTCTGTTAATAAGGAACAAAGCTACTTTAACAGTCGGGACCCATTAGATATTCAAGAATACATAATATTTTTCAACAGTAGGTCCCGACTGTCAAAGTAGCTTTGTTCCTTATTAACAGAATTATAGACTACTGGGCTTGTTTTTTTCTTTTCAGTTTTTATTTGAAGTATAATTAAGCAGTCGGGTTTTTTGATTTTTTAAATTTACCTTTTTTATTTCACACTTTTTAGTTAGTTAGTATTTTAAGACGGTTTATACCGTAGTCTTGTTACTTCAGTAAGGGAATTATTAAGTACGTCGGTCTAAAAGATTGATTTATTAAGACATATAGAGACTTTACCAGCGGGGTCAAGGCTACAGATGGGCCTCAATTTTCGCAAAAATATATGAAGTTAAATCAAGTCGTTACATAAATATCTCTAATGTATGTAAATTTTATAGTAAACTAGCACTTACTCAAAAAGTCATCTTTTGTTTATGTTTTTTTTATAGTTTAGCAGTAAATATAAAATTCATTTACTTTTATTCGACGATTATTTAAAATTGGCAGTGCCTGCATTGTCATGTCAAGGCCGGACGTCTAAGATTGTGATATACACAAATGCAGTGTCAGTCCCTAGTCTCATAATTTGATATACCTACATAATTCACAGAAACCCAATATGTACATGCCAGAAGTTAACTTCAAATGTTTTTAATCACCCTATCACATACAATACCAATGAATGACGTTTATGTCGCAGGTTGAAGAAAGCAGTAATTCCCGTTTGTTGTTTTGGACAATGGTGGCAACTGCCTTAGATCACTAAATTTAATAATTATGCAATCACCAAAGCAAAGTTTATAATATTTGATTAAACTAAAGGCGCATAATAAAATTTTCATAACGTTAGGTAGAGCACCATAGCAATCTCATTTATTATCAATTTATAGTTCTCTTTGTAGTTTTCTTTTAAAGCGTTCACATATAACAGGTCAAAGATTTGTGATCGACCCTTTTTTATTGGTAGTGTAAAGCTTGAATGAAGAGTACTCCCAGTAGGGCAATCATGGCAATTATTATCCAATTTTTTTTTGTTACAAAAATACCGAATAACGTATCACTGTTAAGCACAAATGCTAAGTAACTTTTACAAATATAATCAAATAAACCTATTACTTACTTTATTTTTTTAATCTTTTTCATCAATTAAATACTTATCATATCCTAACTATCTATACTAATATTATAAAGAGGCAAGATTTGTATGTTTGTAACAAATAATCTGTCAAACTACTGAACCGGTTTCAAATATTAATTGATCATAAGGTAGCTACATTATTTATAAGTACATTTTTCTTTATTTAAATACATTTTGTCCGAGTGACATAGGCTATATTTCATCCCGATAAATAAATTTCGCCCGTACAATGCCCGGGTGGATCACTAGTAAGTATAATATAATATTATAGATGTGAAAGTGAGTTTGTTTGTTGCGCTTCCGTGCCCTAATAGCTAAATCGAATATAATGAATTCCCATATAAAAGTAGATGGGAACTTGGTTCTTAGCTACAACATCGCAATACTTATTGGCGTAGGGTGATGAAAGGGGTGATTTACCTATAGAAATCTACATTATTTACTTTGAATTTTGTAGAATTATTACAAAACCAATATTATCGCGAGCTGATTAATAATATAGGGATTCCAATAAGTATGTACTTACTAGCGAGAAATGGGTTATTTGTCATTATATTAAGTAAACCTTTTTTGTAACATTAAGTAATATCGTTAAAAAAATGAAAAACAGTAAAATTCAGAGTTTTTCATTAAAATTCAATAATCATAAATACCTGTTATGATAATATATTTTTCATCATTTAATAAGAAGGAACTGTATCACAGTTTTATTGTTAGTGCTTCGTATAGGATCAGATACTGCGAATAGCCCTTTTTTTTCTTTTACATAGTACACCGCGCTATCACTTGTCATCGTTGTAACTTCTTAAATATTTGTCGAAATGACATAGTGTAAAGAGCAAAGTTTATCGTCTTTAAATATCAAAAGCGATAAAAGTATTTGTTTTGATAAAAAATGATTTGTTAATGCAAAATGTGCATTTTGGAAATAGATATCAAATAATATTTTAGTTTTGATTCACTATTTTAGCTCTAATGACTTACATATTAAAAATAGATATATGGTGTCACGGACTTTTTTTTGAACTATTTAAGAGATACATTTTCACTCTACATTACATTCATGTAACATTTATTGTTTTCGCAGTGCAGGCCAAAATGGCTCGCAGATGGGAGATTTTTTTCCGTCTTATGTGACACTTATTGTTATATATTGGCGAATTAACTCAATAACTACATAAATTATTATATATATGTAATTATCATATATGAGCTATATTACTGTTAAGTTTCATTAAAATCCATTCAGTATTTTTTAGGTGAAAGAGTAACAAAGATTCATACAAATGTAAGATTGAAATTATAAGCGTAAGTGGTTAATATACAACTTTAAAGCGTTGTAGATCCTAAACAATCATATTAAATGAAAAATGGTGTTAGGAACATAAATATGATTTTTGATTATCTAGACAGTGATACCCCACTCGACATATTTTGTCAACTAATTTTTTTTACTTCGTCACAATATGGCGCCTAATATTGCCCATATTGAATTTTGATTACTATCATATCTTTAGTAGCACTCCCATGATTGAGACGAATCGAATGATGTATGAATCATCAAAATCGGTCCAGGCGTTTGGTCTCTAGTGTGCCACAAAGGAACAAACATACATATATAGACTGTTAAACACATAACCCTGTCTGCGCGTCGCGCTTCGCGCTCTTGCATTGCGCAGCCGGGTAAAAATGGATGCGTGTAACTTATGTACGCGCGTGAGAAGTTATACTTCTTTAGCATCATTAAAAATATTTTTTAATTGCATGCAAATAATTAATAATTACAATAAAATAATAAAAGGACTGGAAAAGGATAGTTAACACAGTCAATTAAGTTCAGTTTTAATTTGAAAAATTAAATAAATATTCAAAATATTCAATTAAAATCACTACTGAATTTAAGTTATTAGTCCATAATATGTAATAAGCACTTGTAAGTAACTAAAACACGTTGTGTCTATATAGAAACTAGAAACATGTGGATAAATATTATAAATATGAAAACAGTGATCAGAGGCGACGAGCGTGCCAACATTGTTTTTGACAACGCGATCATCTTATGGAGCTCCGTGGATCGTTCAAAGTACCTTTCGAACAGATGTAACCACTAAGTGGTTAATAATCCACCATTATTAGACACTAACATTCATAACGCGCCCGCGGCCAACTTCATGGTGTTACTATTGTGTTACAGTGATGCGCGCGCATCTCGAAATTTCACTCACATGATTTTTTCATAACGCGCCCACGGCCAAATTCATGCTGTTACTTTTGGGTTACAGTGATGCGCGCGCATCTAAAAATGTCACTCTCATCATTTTTTCATAACGCGCCTAAAGAAGTAAAACTTCAAAAATCAAACTATGTTTTTCAACTAAAATATGTACATCATGGTCATACTGCGTCTCAAACTCAAAAACAATTCAATATTTTGAAGTTATACTTTTTAGCCGCGTTATGAAAAAATGATGAGAGTGACATTTTAAGATGCGCGCGCAACACTGTAACTGAAAAGTAACACCATGAAGTCGGCCGCTAAACCGCACATTACTCGTAAGTCTCGAAAAAAAGCTTCCAACAAAATAGTAATAGGATCTCTTAGTCGCACATGTTGGGACACTCGTCGCCTCGGATCACTGTTTTCATATTTATAATATTTATCCACATGTTTCTAGTTTCTATATTCTTAACACGTGTTATAATGTTATACAAATGCGAAATTTATATGTGCTAATAAATTTTATTCAGTAGTGATTTAAATTGAATATTTTGATTATTTATTAAATTTTTCAAATTAAAACTGAACTTTATTGACTGCGTTGACTATCTTTTTCCAATCCTTTTATTATGTTATTGTAATTAATTATCTGCATGCAATTAAAAACTATTTTTTAATAATTCCAAAAAGAAGTATAACTTCTCACGCGCGTACTTAAGTACACGCACCCATATTTTTTTTTTAATTGAAAACTTTTTATGACGTTGTGACTTCAGATTCGTTGAAACGGAAGTATTTGACACAAGATACCGATCTGTAATTAGTGTCTCGTAGAGTAACTAATATACTCTACGAGACAGATGGCGGAACGCAATTGGTCTCTTCAGTCTCTTGAGGTCGAGGCAAGTGGCCGGTGGTTCGAAACCTGGGTTAGCATGTAATTTTTTTTATATTTCTTTTACTAATTAAAGCTAGTATTTGTTTCTGGAAACAATTTCAGTACAAAATATTTAATTTTGCCCAGTGTTTTACAATACCTGAATAGCTAAGTATTAGCGTTTGGTAGGTGCTTAACTTGTTTATTAATCCGGCTCTGGTTTTTATCAACAATTCAAATATTTGTAATTTTTTTATAGTACTTTTTATAAATGAATATTTCAAAAAAAGCATATATAATTGGAAACAGCTGGTCTATACTAATATTATAAAGAGGAAAGATTTGCTTGTTTGTATTGAATAGGCTCCGAAGCTACTAGACCGATTTGAAAAATTCTTACACATTTAGAATCTTAAATTATCTCTGACGAAAAAAGGCTATGTTGTATTTTCAAAAAAACGTTAGGGTTCTGTATGAAAAAATCGATAATGTAACCCAGGGTGTGAAAAAAAAATACCAAAAAATAACATTATATCGCTTACGCTGCGGAAGTCATTGACAATAGAGCAAAGTGATTTACTAAAGTTTTATAGAGGATATAAATATCTACAAAAAAAGTCTGTAATATCATATGTCTAATTATTACAGTTGTGTCACAACTAAAGGTCTTCTGAGGCTTAACCCGCTTTAATTTGAGGAAGAAGGTTATACTGAGTCAAACTTAAAAGATCGGCATATACTATCGGGGTCATTTTTATAGAAATTTTAAAGGGGAACAATTACATCATTCACGATTTTTGTCTAACTTTAATCATTTACGCAGCGCACGCAATGGAATCTCACAAATGGAATATATTTACCCGTTTTTGCAACATTTTACATCGATACTACGCTACTATGTGTCGGAGCATGTTGTTATATAGCCTTAAGCCTTTCTCAATACATGCACTATTTAACACAAAAAGATTTTATCAAATGTGACCATTAGTTCCTGAGATTTAAAATAATGTGCATTTGATACGACGGGTCCTGAACTACGCAACAAAATTATCACTATTTCCTAAATAAAATTTCATGGAAGCTTTATAAGTATAAAAATAAATTCATTGTGTATAATACAAGCCTGCGAGCAAAAACATAACACTTCAGCTCTACACCGAAGCGAAGCGAGGTGGGCCACTAGCAACACATAAAGCCGCGGGCGGCAATCGAGTCTTCATTCCGATAGACAACACCCTACTCGAACAAAAATTAACATTTTAAAGTTAAATATTTCGCGAACGGTTCGCTAAATCGAAAAATAGTCTTAGGAACACAACACACACAAACTACAAGGGTTCCTTGTCAGGACTACGGAACCTTAAAAAGATATTACACAGAAACTTTAACGTTATAAACGTAGCGTCGTTGATAGATCATAAGATGTGTCATGAGTTTGTCAAAGATGCTATATTTGGTATTGGTTGGATTAACAATGTTGCCTGGAAAAAAATAAAGATTGACAGACAGGCGCGGCCATTCGGAGACGGGTTCCGCGACCACACCCGCCCTCTCGGCACGCACTAGGGGGACCGCGGTCCTCATACTGCGTGTCGGGTGACGGTGCACGAGTATTGTCTGGTTTTTAGTGGCCCTGTTCCCATCAGCGAACTCCAGGGCTGGCTGAAGAGGATAGGGAGGAGTCCCACATACCTTCTTCTCGCTCCCCCAGTGGTTGAAGGATGCGTAAGCCATTTTCCAGACACAAAAAAAAGGTGCTTCTTGTGGTAATAAAAACAAGTTTGTTGCATGTTGGTTGTATTGCAGATGCTGTGGAGTTTCGTTACGCGGCGGAGGTGCCGCTCTCGTCGGAGACGCACGGCGGCGACGACGTGGCGGTGTTCGCGCGCGGGCCGCACCACCACATGTTCACCGGCCTGTACGAGCAGAGTCAGCTGCCGCACCTCATGGCCTACGCTGGCTGCTTCGGTGATGGCAAAACTGTCTGCGAATAAAATGTTTATTAAATACTATTATCTTTATGTACTGTTTTACCCAAAGCCACAAATCCTTTCACTTTTAAAATATTCGTTAGGTAACTGAAAATATTACATTATGGTGTGGCGGCGACATCTATATGCCCCACAGATATACAACAATAGAAAATCATTACTCACCATCCTTAAGAGATGGCATTACCTGCACTGCGATCAATATTAGTATGGAAGCCTACATCGCGCAAATGAAATTCGGAGGCTAACTCTTCATATATACGATGCCCGACCAACATCAGTCGGGCTGCGGCCCCCGAGCTAACATCACCCAGCTCGGAGGAAGATCTGATCTGATATAATATTATTAATCTACTATGTAGGTGTCTTATTCACCCATATACACATTACACTTTGATTGCTTGTGAGTCTTCTTGTGTTTGAAACCTTCAAAATTCCCATTTGACACCTATCTATCAAAAAATTTAAATAATTTATTTAAAATTACCAGATTCCATTTAAGTAACGCAGTAGAAGTATGCAGCTCATCGTAGCGTTTGGCGTGTATCACATGAATAGTTCTAAGGAACGGGAGTAGGTAAAACTTGAAGAGTGGATGATGTGAGGACGATCAATCAGCTTGAAAGTCGTTAAGTCCTCCTCGGACAATGCTAGTAGTCGCGGGTGCGGGGCGGGAGCGGCGCGGGGCCGGAGCGGGTGGCATTGACAGGTGTATTGTAGCGGTGACGCGGATTGATGAGTGAGAGCCGCGATTGTGGCGCGTCCCGCCCGCTCTGTGATTCGTAGACAATATTCTGCATGTGAACTACGCTCAAACCATCTAGATATTTTAAAAGTGAAAACTTATAATTTTTATTTTTTTTAAAGCAAATAACTGCTTGATGTTTAAATCTAAAGAAAATATAACTAGAAAAAATTCCACGCGGACCAGGCAGCAGACGGGACTCGAACCCGCACCCTTCGCAATCCGGGCGAATGCACTGATCAATAATGCTACCGCGGCCCTCACGGACCGCCTCGAAATTCCTCTAGCCATTCTTTTTTCAAAAAATTTTCTAGTTATATTTTCTTTAGATTTAAACATCAAGCAGTTATTTGCTTTAAAAAAAATAAAAATTATAACTATAATTGCTATTTCTTTTTTCAAATGTTTCATACTTGTAAAAGTATTCATTTGACATTGTGGGTTACCTATAATGCGAAGAGATGGCGCTGCCTTGCAGCTTAAGAATGGCTAGAGGAATTTCGACGCGGTCCGTGAGGGCCGCGGTAGCATAATTGGTCAGTGCATTCGTCCGGATTGCGAAGGGTGCGGGTTCGAGTCCCGTCTGCTGCCTGGTCAGCGTGGAATTTTTTCTAGTTATATTTTCTTTAGAAGTGAAAACTTCTTTAGTATCATTGTGACTTGAGATTCGAGGAAACGGAAGTTGAGTATTTCACACAAGATTTTATCAATTTCAATTTTATCAGTTACTACAAGAGACAGATGTTCCAACGCAATCGGTGTCTTGAGGTCGAGGCAAGTGGTCGGTGGTTCTTCGAAACCCGAGTTCGGATGATAACTTTATTTTTTCTTATTTTCTTTCACTAAATAAAGCTATTATTTATTATTGGAAACAATTTAAGTACTGAATATTTCATTTTTCCCAATATATTACAATATAGTTTAACAGTTTGCAGTTTAAAAAAATGATTTATTAGCGTGGAAACATAAGAAATAAATATATATAATGCGATTCAACTAAGAATAGGACTGACACGGCGCCATATTGTGACGTCATAGCTGTCAATTCAAACCAAATAGGTAGAGTGAGCAAAAAATGATTTTATTTAATAAAACTTATTTACTAAGATTAAGTGAGAAAAAACATCAGATTTTTTAATAAAATTAATTTACTAAGGTTGAGAAAAAACAACCGATTTTTAATAATATTTCTTTAATAAGACTGTGTGAGATAAAACAGTAATCTGAATCTAGCTCTTTAATTCCGCACATCTCTGCATTACCGTCGGAGTAGTTATGAATAATCATGCAGGTCACATACGAACATGCATCCTTTATATAAACGAAAGTTTTAAATCGAGTTTCTGAACGCGACATAAAGTGACATTTGGTTGACGATTTAGGTTATCAACCACACATAGCCAAAGCTCAATAAAAGAAAAAAAATATCAAGCAATATTAATTATCAATATTTGTTATTGTTCGTTTAAAAATCTTTGGTTTTTATTCTAGAATTAGCTGAGTGCTAAAAAGTGTTCCGAGATTTTTTGCAAACCGTACTTTTCAAGTGACATTTGACAGATTGAGGTCATTGGCTTTCCTATTCTTATTTGAATCGCATTATACCTGTAGTCTCAAGCTCTTAGCCTATAATTGATTGACTGGGCGACATGTGACAAATAAGGCGTAAGACGCAATCGCAGTGTGCAGTTGAAATAACGAAACAATCGAAGTTTTACTCGTGGCGACAAGCGGGGGCGGCTTAGCTGTTATAAAGCGAGATATGTTCCCTTAGAAGCAGTTATGGATTTTTATTTGTTCATTTATCTCTCCTCCATTTACAAAAACACCTTGAAAACTTATTGTATAATTAACTTATGGTAGTTTTATAAGTAGCTAAGTACAACTTTGTGAGAGACTGACGCCTAAACTAAGCATAAAAATGCTTGTATATCAGGTCATCAGATTGCCACAAAAAGATGTCGATTCAGTATATAAAGGAAAACTGAATAAATGTAGTTTTGACTCATTAACCTTGGAGTCATGAATATTAATAATTGTAAGCATTATTTTCAGGAAAAGAGAAAAAAATATAAAAAGCAAAAATAGGAAGTCGCCAAAGACACCACTTAAAAATATTTTAAAATAATATATGTATGTCTATGCCGTGCAACACATTTTAAATTTATACATTATGGATAATCTATCTCAATGCAATTAATATTACTTATCTACACAAAGAACATTGTACTTATGCTTTTATGTAGAACAGATCTTCAGTCTCACCGTAACTTAAGTTAAGTTGCCATTTTTTAAGAGTTAATTTACAATTTCTTGTGTTCAAGTTACAGATGTTAATTATTTTGTTTATAATATTATATAGGTAAGGACCATAGAAAGCACAAGATCTTTGTGCAAAACTTGTTCGAAAAAGGCGTATTTGATTACAAACTTTATGTTGTCTCCGTTTGTTACAAATTGTTGGATCATAATCAAGTTCTTTGTGTTGTTTGAGGACAATTGCAAGTACAGCCAGCTGCCTTATAGTCAAGAGATTACAGTTTTGATAGAGAATATAGTTAGGGAAGAAGAAAGGACGAAAAGTAGTTATTTTCATTAATACGGCTCTGGTTTTTCACAACAATCGTTACCATTCCAATGTGTGCAATTTTTTACAGTATTTTGTTATTAATAAATATTTCGAAAAAACCTAAGATTGAAGAAATATAACAAAGGATATAAAATTAAAAATACACCTGGACACATCTATTGGCCCACCTTGTATTTTCCCTTTCGTTTGGTCCTACCTAAAATTTTATATTAGGTCGAGCAAAAAGTTTTTATGCAGTTTTGAACCTTCATTCACAATTTCATTCAATAGTCTTTTTTTGAATTTCGAACACAGAATTTAAAGAAACAAAAGACAATTTGGAGCCTGTTTGTTTATATCAAACAATCGAATACTAAGAAAACTTGGATTTATTGGTTTACTTGGATTTAATTCTTGAAAACAAACATTACTTATTCTTAACATTACGGTGAGGTTCTATCAATAATCTATGGATACTTCACCTGAAGTCGCCGCCCAAGCTGTGGCACTTATTCAGGCCGGACACAGCCAAAGAAACGTGAGTGCTCAACTTAATTTAAGTCGATCTGCGGTCCGAAATGTCTATCGGAGGTACCTAGAGACTGGCGGCTTTGTTCGTCGCCAAGGAAGGCCACGATCTCGGGTCACAACTGAAAGGCAGGATCGATTCATCGTGACGACCAGCTTGAGAAATCGTCACCTTACTTCCATTGAGATACAAAAACAAATTCGCGACTTCCACGGAGTATCTGTGAGCGCTCGAACTGTTCGGAGAAGGTTAAAAGAACGCGATATCGTACCACACAAGCCAGCTAATGGGCCCAAACTAACGCGAGCCCACCGAACAGCGCGCCTTCATTTCGCACGCAGTCATTTAAATTGGACACAGCAAGATTGGAGCCGTGTACTCTTTTCTGATGAGTCTAAAATTGTGTTACATGGCAATGATGGAAGGAAGAAGGTCTACCGACGTAAGGGAGAGCGTTTCGCACAATTCTGCTTTGAAGAGAGGGTTGCTTATGGCGGTGGCTCATGGACTGTCTGGGGCGGTATATCCGCGAGCGGCAAAACTCAACTTGAGGTTGTTACAGGACCACGGCTGCCAACATTAAATGCTGAAAGGTACATTCGTGCGTGCTTAGAACCTCACGTGATACCATACGCGGACTATGTGGGCCCAAATTTCCTTTTTATGCATGATAATGCAAGAGCCCATGCGGCCGGCATCGTCAGGGAATATCTTCGGGATGTGAATATCACAGTTATGGACTGGCCAGCCAGAAGCCCAGACATGAACCCCATTGTGCACATGTGGGACGAGCTAAAAAGACGTGTTAGGGCTCGTCAGCCAGTTGCCCAGACGATGCAGGAGTTGAAAACTGCCATAGAAGAGGAATGGGAGATGACCCCTCAAAATTTCATAGAGCGGTTGATAAACTCTATGCCTAATCGTATGAAAGCTGCGGTAGATGCCCATGGAGGCAACACGCGTTATTAAATTAAACCTTTATTTGATAAAACATGTTTTTTATTCATAAATCAATTGCCTTTAACAAGGCGCATATCCGACTTGTTAGGCGTAGCTCCATGTCGTATGGTATTCTGAATTCAAATTTAAAACAATACGATCGAAAAAGATGGTAAAATGTATCAGGTTTAAAACTGCATCAACAGTTTTTGTTCAATCTAGCAATCATATTTCGGTAGGGGCCATCGAAACCTAAACTCTAAGGTGGGCCAATAGATGTGTCCAGAAGTGT